TAACCATTGTGGCGTCTCTATTGACCGACCCAGTTTCAAGAATTGACCACCAATTGGTGGTTTCAAACATAATGTCATAGATAGACAATGATAGATATAGATTGTCAATTATTCTTATTATATGTCTCTACCGCGGGATGATTTTCGGAGACAAGAGCCTTATATACTGAGCACAAACAGTTGCAGGTGCGGGTGAGGAATACATTCATTGAAATTGAGGATGAGACAATTCAGGCGAAACTGGGGATCGGGTGTTTTTTCGACACCAGAATGAGTGTTGGAAGTCTATACGGTAAGAGGGAGTGGGCCCCGTAATTAATGCGTTCAGATGGGCTAAAACAAGATCTTACGAAGAGTCTTGTTGCATCATGAATCTTATCATGAAGGTACTTTGAATCCGGCATTCTATGTTTTTTTCCACACATGTAATTCCTCCGTATAATTCCCGTGATAACGTGGACTTGTTTGGATGCTTCAAAGTGGTTGCATTTAGCTAGGGTATAGCGTTTACACCGGTTCATGGTATATTGCCTTCTGGTAATTAAAAGTAATTAGCTATTGAAAATTGGCAATTTATGGATGATTTACCTATAAGTAGAATATAAACAAATATCATTGTCCATATAGATTATCAGAGGGTATATCTATAGTAGGAACTTTGAAACCATCATTCCGATGGTGTTTTCCACATTTGCAACATGTGTTGCAGTTTTACATGTGTATATATATATATATTATTTATTTATTTATTATGCATTTATTTAGCCATTCCTTGGTGAACAGATTTACCAACAGGAAATGGTGATTGTACCAACAGAAGTAGTTTTTTTAACCAACAAGGATTTGTGGCATAGTGGGGGAATGTGGGGGAGAATATGGACTATAATTACGTAATTAATTGGGTTATATTTGGATAAGCTAAAGGACCTGCTTGCGACGACACTGGTGCAAAATGGCTTCATTTCATGAAGCGAATCAAAATTATTAATCATGTGTTCCTTGAGGTATCCACAATCGAAGGTGGCAAACTGGAAAGCTCTGTGTTTTGGGAAATCATCAATGAAATGGGAAATGAGGTGGTGCATTTCCCATCACCCGGTAATGAAATGCAAAGAAACATGGTTTAACTCTGGAATTCCCAGGTTGTTCGGGGATTTCCCATTCAAACCTCCATGGCTTCAGGGAATTTTCCTATAGCCATCTTTGATGACGGGTAACCAAGTGGGATCCTCCCAGTCACCAGTCTTTCATGGCGATCAAAAAGAGACGAAGAACTCCATTTACTTCAGGGATTTTCGTTTGCTCCATTGACATATATAAATAATATACGTACAGTATTAATGAATATAATTATAGAAGTTTTTCCCGTGAAAACACCATTTACAGAGGTGTTTTCCATTTTCATCCACCATTAGAAGATGTTCCCAGAAAGCTCCCATGTTTGGCCCGTGGCAGGAAGGATGCCCAGTCCGCAAAAGTCGTTCAATGCCATCGCTCCTTTGAAGATGCGACGCTCCGATGATGTCCGGTAAATGAACGTAGCTGACGTAGCTATGAAAAAATCACCATGTTGAATAGGTCAAATCATCAATAAATGGGCATTGTTGTTTATAGCCAGCCATGTTAGTTTACCATAGTTTACCGGCAAAACAAAGAGTTATACACTGGGAAAAAGTTGGATATTTATTAAAAATACGGGGATCACATGTGGATCTATGTGGATTTCATGGGAACTGCATGGGATATAACGGGATATATACCTGACAATACTTGAGATTTGCAGGGTGGTAAGCTGGTAAGCTGGGCTAAATCTAGGATCTAGTGCGAATAGAATGGGATAATCATGTTTGAATCTTTGATGTGGGGATATAATGGAGAATGATGGAGCTATCTAATTAAGCAACTGATATGATATCCGGGTATGTCTCAAATTTAAAGGGAAAGGTATTGTAAACCAGTGGATTTTGAGCTGCAAAAATTCAATCAAGCCCGATATTGTCCAAGAATGGGCAGGAAGAGATCCCAGATCCCATTGGTCCCGAGGCAGGAACATTGCCTGAACCTTGCTGTGTTCTTACACGTCCCACAGAAAGGGGTTGGGTCTTTTTTCAGATAAATGAATGAAGCGCGGACGGATGTGCATGATACTTGACATGCACCCGTATATATACATATAAGTATATATACCTGTATACATGTCATCATTATATGTAGGAATATATTATGATATATTATTATTAATAATAATAATAATCACCATCATCATAATAACAATAATAACAGTAATAGGTAATGATATTAATAATAATAATAACAATAATGTATCACCATATATGCTGTCTCCAAACGTTCTGGGCGACCTGCACTACCCCCAAATCCAAAATCTGTTTATCATACTTTTTCTTCACCTTGGCCAGTTTGACCAGGACTCGTCCTTTCTATTTGCTGCGGCCGCTGCCTAAAACGCAAACGACTTGCCATGGCTGGGCAGCACTGGTCGCACCGGGCGTCGCCCAAACGGTTGTACAGGGGTTCGCTTGCCGCGAACCAGTTCTGTGGAGTTGCGGGGGTGCGACTGGGGCATGGTCATTATTCCTCCGGTGCCGGAACGTTTGTGAAAGAGAGATTCCTCAGCAGATACGATAGCATGATTAATGTTGCACTAGCAATAATTATTTAAAAAGAATATAGCCTTTATGATTCAGTTGTGTTTAGCAATTATATAAGCATTATATAATCAATCCCTTCCCACTATTACTAAACGGTCCCCTCCAAAAAATAAACACCTGGAGTAGTTTTTAGTATTAGGGGGTATTTAGTATTAGCGTGCGAAGCTTCCTAATACTAAATTAAATTAAAACATGTTGCCAAAAATTGGATTTCGAAGCTTTCCCCTAATACTAAATTATCTAAATTAAAAACCCTAATATAAAAAACTATTTGTTTCTATTTCAAAATCGACTAGATTTCCTTTTACTGTAAAATCCAATTAGAATATTGCCAAATTTGGATTTCGAAGCTTTCCCCTGATATTATATAATTAAAAACCTTATCGAAGGAAGTTTAGAAGTCAAACTTCCGACAATATGGACAGATGAAAAGCAGAGCAGGGCAGAGGCAGAGAGAAGAGGAAGATTAGAAGAGAGAAGATCAGAAGAGAAAGAGTAAGAGGACAGAAGATACCGATGCGCGAAAAGGTAGGAAAGTCGCGAAACACTGTGTTTTTCCAATGATGTGTGGCTCCGGAGGGTCGAAAAGTAGGCTCGCTAAAGCGGCGGGTGCGGACCCAGCTGGCCACAGGAACGATGAAAAATTGCACGCCGTTGTGGCGCGAAGCACATTTCCAAGTCAAAATGTACAAAACACCTCAGCGTCGGACCACTTTTGGAAGTTATGATGTCGAAAAAGTGCACGCCGTTGTGGCGCGAAGCACATTTCCAAGTCAAAATGTACAAAACACCGCAGCTCCGGACCACTTTTGGAAGTTGTGATGTCGAAAAAGTGCACGCCGTTGTGGCGCGAAGCACATTTCCAAGTCAAAAGTGTTAAAAACTGACGGTCTCGGACCACTTTTGGAGGTTCAGATGTCGAAAGTGTCGAAAAAGTGCACGCCGTTGTGGCGCGAAGCAAATTTGGAAGTCAAAAGTGTAAAAAACTGAGGGTTTTGCGCCTTTTTTGACGTGCTGATGTCGAGAAAGTAGACACTGATTAACTTAACTAACTTGACTAACTTAAGGAACTTCACTAGCTTAACTACCCTAACTTCGACGACAACAGCAACAACAACAACAACAACTACAACAACAACAACTACAACAACTACAACAACTACAACTACAACTACAACTACAACTACACAACAACTACAACTAGAACATACTAGAACTACAACTACAACAACTACAGCTACAACAACAACAACAACAACTACAACTACAACTACAATAGATCGATAGATGGAGAGATAGATAGATAGATAGATCGATAGATAGATAGATAGACAGATAGATAGATACATAGATACATAGATACATAGATACATAGATACATAGATAGCTACTCAGAGAAAGAGAGAGAAAGAGAGGAGACCTCAAGCACCTTTCGGTCCATCAGTGGCTTCGCTCTGCCATCCCTGATTCACAACAGCCAATCTCTCCTATAGGTTTCCTATTTTTGAAACTTCCGCCACCGCCTTGTGCGGTACTACTGGTATAGTGTAAACTACTTCTTTTTTTCCGACCTTAAAAGACGGACCTTAATAAAAAACAAAAACCGGGCTTAACTAGTTTTTATTAGGGGGTGAAACCCTGAAATAGTACCCTTCATTTTCAAGTTGTTTTCGAAAGGGGATCAATTAAAAACCGAATTGGCCAGTGGCCAGTCCGAAATTTCCTGAAATTTAACGCGGACCCTAGTTTTTAGTATTTGGGGTACGTTTAGTAAAAGGAGGTGGGTTCATTAGTCAGTGAAGTATAACCTGCAAGTCCAAGGACTCAAAAAGTACGTCCTCATGAATCTCCGTAGAAAGTGGACCAAAAAACAAGTCCCTGTCTGATACATCATGATGTACCTTTTGAGGTCCCGGACCTCAACAGGAACATTGCTATATAGCATCCTTGATCGTGAGTAATCGTGAGCAGGACCCGAAAAAGTATGGCCCTATGGCCCTAATATACGTAAAGGCCCTAAAAGGTACACATAGCGGCTCAAAAATCGTGAGAAATCGTGAGTGAACATTGCTATAAACCCTCGGTCGTAGAACCCCAGCATTGCTATGCTTTCTCGGCGATGATCCTTTTGCGCCACTTTCGGCAAGGACTCAAAAAGTACGGCCTTAGGACTTTTAGGGATCATATAGGGATGCTCAACCACCCACATCCAGTTACGTTGGTTTCAAAGAAGCTCAAATTCCCCTCAGGGTCGCTGAGTCAACATGGTAAACCAGCAAGGCCTCCCAGTGCAACGACTTGATGATTATAACGATGGTCGGATTATATTATATTGTAACATTTGTAACGGTGATATTAAATAACAACACATTGACATCTACATCAATCGACATCACATCCAATTTGAATCCCTGATTATCGTCGGATTTTTCTCACCGGATGTTTATAGAATTGCAATTCTGTGGCGCTTTTGTGCCCGTGGTGGTTTTCACCACGGCAGCCGGAGACCCCAGACGCTCCTGGGAAAATTTTTATGTAGTGTTTTTGAATGTCGTCAAGACTGAGAAGGCGGCTGACTTCCAATGCAGGTCTCGTCGCGACCCGTTCGCGGAACTCAGTTGCTGCTGTTGCTGGCGGATTTCTGTCAGCCAGTGACGCCGTCAAATCTTAAGTTCTTGACCATAAAAATCCACACCTGACGGTGATGCACAATCCAAAACAGCAGGACCTATACTGGTGATAGCTCCAGCCATTTTAAGCCAAAGACATGACTAAAAACATGTTGGAACCAGGGGCCTTGTCCTCTCAATCCAATCTGACTTGGCTGATTTGGCAGTGGAAAATCCACTTGACACTCTTTTACAGATGATGTTCCTTCTTTTCCCATGTCTGGGGATTTTCCGTCGCCAGCCAGCTTGGATTCGCAAGTTGGAACCACATGTGTTCACCGTCAGCTTACAGCGGGGATTTTCGACTCAGCGCGCCGTAAGTTTGAAGGCGCTGCGAGCATTGCATGACATGTGAATTTCGTGGTACTTTGTCAATTTCAACATGCTTGACCATTCAAGGATGCCTACAGTGCCGGAACATGCCGGAATCTCTGGTGCTCATGTCACAATATTGCATGAAAATGCAGAAGATATGAAATGCATAGTGTCTTAAGCGCGATTTGAAGGTCTATAGCGGCTAGCAGAAGCTTTTGCCGTGAGGCGTTTTGCAAGGTCGCGAATGGTGCATGTTTCTCATATCGGCGGCCTGGCTGGGAGTTGAGCAGTCGCAGGGCGGAATGACTTCAGGATCAGCGGCTTGATCTAGGCATGGCTTCCATGTGTTGGTTGCTGGGTAATTTGATGGCCCCGTTTGATGAAAAAAAACCTGCAACAATTGTTCCCAATTCTTGCGATTCTTGAAACCCCATGGTTTTCCAGTCAATATTGTTCCCTTAATTTGAAGGATGGATGCACGTGTTCTTCCGAGACCTGCGTAGTAGAACTGAGTCTCCCTTGCTTGGTTTGCGCCGTAAATTGATGCAGCACTGCTGCCGCGCTGCCACTCTGCACTGGTCTTGCACGAAAACTTCCATCGTGTTGCAGCCACACCCAAGTGCGGCACGCTGAAAAAAAGCGGGCCGGACTGGTACTTGGAAGAAATCCTGCGCCAGTTGGTGGATATTGGTGGATAGTCGGATAGTTTATCCGATCCCGTTATACTGTAGGATACAGATTAGTGTGGGGAGGCCCCCCCCTTAACAAATTTTGGATACAGAATAGTGTGGAAAAAACAAGGTACCGGGTACGCAATACGGTGAAATAAAAAAAAAAAGATAGATTTAAATTGACTTTCAATTGGTTTCAATTTATTTTGAATTGATTTGAAGTTACTTTGAATTGATTTCAATTTACTTTCAATTGATTTCAATTTATTTTGAATTGATTTGAAGTTACTTTGAATTGATTTCAATTTACTTTCAATTGATTTCAATTTACTTTCAATTGATTTCAATATATTTTCAATTGATTTCAATATATTTTGAATTGATTTCAATTTACTTTCAATTGATTTCAATTTACTTTCAATTGATTTGAAGTTACTTTGAATTGATTTGAAGTTATTTTGAATTGATTTGAAGTTATTTTGAATTGATTTCAATTTACTTTGAATTGATTTCAACTTACTTTGAATTGATTTCAAGTTACTTTCAATTGATTTCAATTTACTTTCAATTGATTTCAATTTAATTTAAATTGATTTCAATTTACTTTGAATTGATTTTAATTTACTTTGAATTGATTTCAATTTATTTTGAATTGATTTCAATTTATTTTGAATTGATTTCAATTTACTTTCAATTGATTTCAATTTACCTTCAGTTGATTTCAATCTACTTTAAATTGATTTCAATTTACTTTGAATTGGTTTCAATTTACTTTCAATTGATGTCAAATTACTTTGAATTGATTTCAATTTACTTTGAATTGATTGCAATTGATTTCAATTTACTTTCAATTGATTTCAATTTACTTTGAATTGGTTTCAATTTACTTTCAATTGATGTCAAATTACTTTGAATTGATTTCAATTTACTTTCAGTTTACTTTCAATTGATTTCAATTTACTGTCAATTTACTTTCAATCAACATCCCATAGAAATCCAATAGTAGTCCCAAAGAAATATCATAGAAATACCATGGAAATCCCATAGGAATCCCACAGAAATCCCATAGAAAGATCATAGAAATAACATGGAATAGCATAGGAACCACAAAGAAATCCCATGAGAATTCCAATAATAATCCCATAGAAATATCATAGAAACATCATGGAAATACCTTGGAAATCCCAAAGGAATCCAATAGAAATTCCATAGGAATCCAATAGAAATACCATAGAAATCCCATAGGAATCCAATGGACACCCCATAAGAATACCATAGAACTCCCATAGCATCCCTTCAGAAATCCCATAGAAATCCTCCAGAAATATCATAGAAACATCATAGAAATCCCACAGGAATTCCATAGAAATCCAATAGTAATACTATAGAAATACCATAAAAGAAAAAAACTTTAGCCAAGGAAAAAGAAAAGGGAATGTTTGAAAAAAAAAATCACCCCAGGAAGCATCTGGACACAATAGTGTACCCCCCAAACAAACCACACTATTGTGTATCAGGGTTGCTCATGGACTACCCCCTTGAAAAAATGTTTGAGTGATGTTTTTTTAATTTGTTTTTAATAAGGTGTCATATATTTTGGGAAATTGGACATTTCTGAGAATTTCAAATGAAAGAAGCTAAGAAAGGAATTAATTAATAGAAAAAACTTTAAGCAAAGGAAAAGGCAAAGGAAATGATTGCAAAAAAAAAAAACACCTCAGGAAAGCAGCTGGACACAATAGTGTACCCTCCAAACAAACCACACTATTGTGTATCAGGGTTGCTCATGGACTACCCCCTTGAAAAATTGTTTGGGTGATGTTTTTTAATTGGGTTTTAATAAGGCATCATATATGTTGGGAAATTGGGGGCTTCTGAGAATTTCAAATGAAAGAAGCTAAGAAAGGAATTAATTAAAAGGAAAAAAACTTTAGCTAGCAAAGGAAAAGGTAAAGGAAATGATTGAAAAAATCAAAAAAAAATCATGACCTCAGGAAAGCAGCTGGACACAATAGTGTACCCTCCAAACAAACCACACTATTGTGTATCAGGGTTGCTCATGGACTAACCCCTTGAAAAATTGTTTGAGTGATGTTTTTTAATTGGGTTTTAATAAGGCATCATATATTTTGGTAAACTGGGCATTTTTGAGAATTTCAAATGAACGAAACTAAGAAAGGAATTAATTAAAAGGAACACACTTTAGCTAGCAAAGGAAAAGATAAAGGAAATGATTGAAAAAAATCAAAAAAATCATGACCTCAGGAAAGCAGCTGGACACAATAGTGTACCCTCCAAACAAACCACACTATTATGTATCAGGGTTGCTCATGGACTACCCCCTTGAAAAATTGTTTGAGTGATGTTTTTTAATTGGGTTTTAATAAGGCATCATATATTTTGGGAAACTGGACATTTCTGAGAATTTCAAATGAAAGAAGCTAAGAAAGGAATTAATTAATAGAAAAAACTTTAAGCAAAGGAAAAGGCAAAGGAAATGATTGAAAAAATCAAAAAATCATGACCTCAGGAAAGCAGCTGGACACAATAGTGTACCCTCCAAACAAACCACACTATTGTGTATCAGGGTTGCTCATGGACTACCCCCTTGAAAAATTGTTTGGGTGATGTTTTTTATTTGGGTTTTAATAAGGCATCATATATGTTGGGAAACTGGGCATTTCTGAGAATTTCAAATGAAAGAAACTAAGAAAGGAATTAAGTAATTAAAAGAAAAAACTTTAGCAAAGGAAAAGGTAAAGGAAATGATTGAAAAAATCAAAAAAAATCATGACCTCAGGAAAGCAGCTGGACGCAATAGTGTACCCTCCAAACAAACCACACTATTGTGTATCAGGGTTGCTCATGGACTAACCCCTTGAAAAATTGTTTGAGTGATGTTTTTTAATTGGGTTTTAATAAGGCATCATATATTTTGGGAAACTGGGCATTTTTGAGAATTTCAAATGAAAGAAACTAAGAAAGTAATTAAGTAATTAAAAGAAAAAACTTTAGCAAAGGAACAGGTAAAGGAAATGATTGAAAAAAATCAAAAAATCATGAGCTCAGGAAAGCAGCTGGACACAATAGTGTACCCTCCAAACAAACCACACTATTGTGTACCTGGATGTAATTTTCTGTGGAAGGCATCTGGAAAATTTCAATGATGGAAAATAAAAAGTAAAAGAAAAAAGCTTTAAAAAATGGAAAAAAATGAAAAATGTTTGAACAAACAGAAACAAGACCAAGACACAATTGTGTATCCTGACACAATTTAAAAACTTGTTAAATTAAAATAATAAAATAAAAAAATAATATAAAAATATTATAATTAAACATAAAAATAAAAAATAATTTAAAATAAAATAAAAAATAGTTAATTTAAAAAATATTATGATTAAAAATAAAAATAAAAATAATTTAAAATAAAATAAAAAATAATTAAATCAAAAATTATTATGATTAAAAATAAAAATAAAAAATAATTTAAAATAAAATAAAAAATAATTAAATTAAAAATAAAAAAATGTAATTAAAAATAAACATAAAAAACAATTAAAAACTAAAAAACAAAAAATGAAAAAACAACTTACACCAAAATCCTGTGGACACAAAACTGTACCCCTCGATCATTTCCAAAGATACAAAATAATTTTGGAGTCTGTGGACACAATTCTGTATCCCCACACTAATCTGTATCCCACATTAATCCCATTATATTTATATAGTGTTTCATAGTTCCCAACAGTGTCCAACAGGTGCAGGATTTCTTCCATCCACAGTATGGCCAGGGTTTGAAAGAAATGATTGCAGTCGTAACCAGAGAATACCACCCCCTAAATGGGACATGGGTCCTTACCCACCTATACTGATCACGAGCCGAAGGAACACCCTTTGGTACTCAATCATGGCATCGGGAAATACCCTTCGGGAATCCAACATCAATTGGAAATCGCCAATCCGATGATTATAGCTGGAGGTTTTAAATGGTCTTAATGGGACATCTTCTATAGATGGCTGATTATCCATTGCCATGCTTGCCAGAGGGCACAATTGACGATGATTGCCCGATCTGATTCTGAGATGAAAGTCCCCAACTTGCACGGGAGCGTGTCCTGAGTGCCCTTGAAATAGAATACCTCCACGGGTTGACACTCATTTGAGGCTATGATTATCCCCATATTGATGGCCATATACATTATTATGTTGCATGGTTTATTTATATATTTAATACATATATATATATATTATATTTATTTAATATATATATATACATATATATATATATATCGCATGATTTTGTATCGTATCTCTAGAAAGCCAAAAAAGTTGGACTCCAAGTTTCATGGCAGCAATGGCCATTTCAGGAACCCATTTATTGGAGGTACCTATTGTATAGTACCTCCATTTTAGGATCCTGAAATTCCCATTGACAGTATGCATGCTGCCAGATGGCTGTAAAGAAACAGGCCGTTGGAGGACAACCGGCTCAAGCTGTTGCGAAGATTTTGACGGGGAAAGAACGCCCTCCAGCGCCATTATCCGTCATGAAGCTGGGCCGCCTTCAGAGCTGGGTCATCAATGGTTGATTTTTTTTTTATGGGTATACACGTTCAACCAGTATAATGTATGGTTGATGATAGATATATGTTACAATAATTTACGAGATATTCATATGGTCAATTGGGGCTATAAAGCAACTTATTGCTGGGTAGACTAGCCTTGGCCATCAAACATGGCGGTTCGCCAAAGGGTACCGGTATCATTGATGTGGTCCCAGAAATCTAAGGATAGACCGGAGATCCATACCTAGCCATGTTTTTCCAAAATACTGGGACATTCACGTTGGGGGATACTTTAATAAAGCTGAAGGTTCGTTCGTTATATGGCAAGCTTCACGCATATGCCAACACTCACGGAGTTTTTTTAAGCAAGCAAATGACATTATATAGTAGATAGGATGACCTCTGAAATTAGTAGCTATACTTGGTAGGTGGGTTGGAGGCCCCCTTATGGAACACATCAAGATTCACATCCAATCTGCCAGCTGGGGTTGTGCTGTTAACCCCTTGCCCGGAACAGAATAGATCGGAAATGCGACCCCGAATAAACGGATCTACCACTAGATAGGGGGTTAAGAGGACTGTTGCGGAGGGGGGATGGGGTCAGTATATACATAATTATACATATATGGTCTAATGATTCAAAATTAATTGGCATCTAAGAAAACACGACAGCCTTGGACATTAAAGAGGTGAAGTGCCCCTCGCCATGGTTGAACATGGCCTTTTTTTTGTGCAGTAGATCACATAGTGATGCTGTAGATTGCACTAGATTTCTTTGATCTAGAGATGTTTAAACACGAATTTCCAGATATTTAGAGCTTCCCAACTCTTCTATCCATGAAATTGGGGTTACTTCACAATTTTCAAGTCGCTTCCCAAAGAGATCCAGTGCGATCTCCGGGTTGGCGCGGTGAAGCCTAGGACCTCTGCAAGGACGACCAGCGACAGCAATGCCGACATGGAAATGAAGCGACTGGCTGCACACAAGAAGACTCTCGGTCCGAAGCCAGTTATAATCCCTGGAAAAAAATCGGCCAATGATATATACACATATAGCCAAACAGAATATGTTTGCAGTAATTCACTTAAACAATGGTTTTCCAAATGCTAATTTACTTTTTTCCCTTTTGACTTATATCCAATAAATCTGATAGTCGATTCATGATTGATCGGCCCTGATGGATTGTCATTCGCTACGTATACTGGATCTATGTCTGGGGACATTTTAAGCCCTAAAATGAAAGGAAACTAAAGATTGAAGTCCTAGGTTTGGGTGGTTAGTTCACATGGACCCGGGACCCATGGTACCGCAATAAGAGAGAAATTCTGTCGCCACGTGCTATAAAAACATGGTGATATGTAGATATAAAGTTAAGATGCAGAGTTTTGTAAAATCTGCCACTTAAAGAGTGGTTAATTACTTTACCCTTTGGTAAACTAACATAGCTATGGAAGCCATGGCCCATTTATAGATGGTTTACCTATTAAAAAATGTGATTTTCTATAGCTATATCAGCCATTACCAGAGGGTACAGTAGATCTTTTTGGGGGTTACTATAGCCAGCAACTAGTTGTGTTGCAGGGGATCGAAGGGCTGGGGCTAGCCGTGTGGCAGAGCTCTGGCCTTGAAGCAAAACCATGGTAGAGATTGGGCGTCGCAAAGGCTGGGAACGTCGCTTAATTCTTTAGTGAAGGACATGAACAAACAATACTAATCATAATTATACATATATATATATATATATTGTATATAAGTATATATATATGTAGGTTTGAATGGCTTTATTTTTTTACAATCCTGTTGTACATTGTAGTGTTTAATCCCGCTATACCTTCTATAATAAATGGCACTAGGGAAAATGATGAACCATTCTGGATTTAGAGGTACCTAGCCATGGCTTTTCAGAGCCAACCATGGCACCCTGTTGGATTCCAGGACCATAATGTGCAAGTTCTTTGAGCTGGGCCAATGCACCCGTGGTGACCGCTGTACCTTCGCTCATGGCTCTGAGCAATTGCGACCCTTGGATGTTATAATTATATATATATATACGGGTGGAAAAATATATGGAATATCAGGGATCATAATGGATTATAAGGGTTATAAAACATTGATCCTATTATGGGTTATTTATGTTCTACGGGTTATATATATATATATATATATGGTGAATGTTTTCCTCTATGGGATTAAACATGGCTTACATATGGATTATAAACTAATCCTAAGTGGGATGCTTCTTTAAGTGGATCCCCACTGGATGGATGGAAAAAAGCCAGTCCGCAGATGCCGATTTCACCAACAAAAACGTGGGATTGGCATGGATCGGCTCGGACATTTTTGGGGTTTCAGAAAACTGGGGATCTCATTCTAAACACAAATGGGACATCCCAGTTTAATCCATTGATAAAATGGGAAACTCCTGGAGATTTAAAAGAAGAATCATGGAGTTTAATCCATTGATAACATGGGAAGAATTGACGCAAAGAACGTCAAAGAACTGAGTTGAAACATGTTCAGGCCACAAAATTCTAATATCAGTGGTTTATAATTAATCCATACCAGTAGTACCGCACAAGGCGGTGGCGGAAGTTTCAAAAATAGGAAACCTATGGGAGAGGTTGGTTGTTGTGAATCAGGGATGGCAGAGCGAAGCCACTGATGGACTGAAAGGTGCTTGAGGTCTCCTCTCTTTCTCTCTTTTTCTCTCTGTTTCTCTATCTTTCTCTGATTATCTACCTACCTACCTACTGATCTATCTGTCTACCTATCTATCTGTCTGTTTGTCTATCTATCTCCCTATCTATCTATCTATCTATCTATCTATCTATCTGTCTAGTGTTCTAGCTATTTGTCTATCTATCCCCCTATCTATCTATCTATCCATCCATCCCTCCATCTATCTATCTATCTATTTATTTATCTCGCTGTCTCTCTATCTATTTGTCTATCTGTCTATCTGTCTATCTGTCCATCTATCTATCTATCTACCTAGCTATCTATCTATCTATCCATCTATCCATCTATCCATCTATCCATCTATCCATCTATCCATCTATCCATCTATCCATCTATCCACCTATCCATCTATCCACCTATCCATATCTATCCATCTATCCGTCTATCTACCTATCTATCTACCTATCTATCTATCCATCTATCTATCTGTCTATCTATCTATCCATCTATCTCTCCATCTATCAATCTATCTATCTAACCATCTATCTATCGATCGATCGATCTGTCTGTCTGTCTGTTTGCCTGCCTGTCTGTCTGTCTGTCTGTCTCCCTATCTATCTGTCTACCTGTGTATCTATCTACCTATCTACCTATCTACCTATCTACCTATCTACCAATCTACCTATCTACCTATCTACCTATCTATCTATCTATCTGTCTGTCTGTCTGTCTATCTACCTGTGTATCTGCAAGCTTGAAAACCAAGCTATTCTGCGAGATGTCTTCATTTTCAAAGTTGACAATGTCAAAAACGAAGCAATTCTGCGAGACTTCCTTAATGTTTGAACATAACAACGTCCAAAACAAAACAATTCTGCGAGACGTCTTCATTTTTTGAACTTGACAACATCCGAAACGAAGCAATTCTGCGAGACTCCTCATTTTTCGAAGTTGAAGACATCAAAAACGGACGAAGTGCTGCACCTGTCACGCAAAATCATCTTAGCAAACCTGCACATCTGATACTCCAAAATGCAACCCCTCTCAGGAAATCAGCGCCCTGACCTCCTAACATCTCTCATGCACATGTCCTTTGTACTGCGCCTGCCACGGAAAATGCATCTTTGCAGATCCTCTTCAAATGTCCCATGCCTGCCATCGTTTTTGGAAATGCTACAAAACCCTCACGTTTTGCTCCCTTTTGAAGAGGTGCACCCTGCCATGCGAAACGACATCTGAACCTCCAAAAGTGGTCCGAACCCCTAGTGTTTTGTACATTTTCACTTCGAAATGCGCTTCGAGCCACAACGGCGTGCACTTTTTTGACATCTCAACTTCCAAAAGTGGTCCGAGAATGGTGTGTTTTTTACATTTTGACTTCGAAATGTGCTTCGCACCACAACGGCGTGCACTTTTTCGACATCTCAACTTCCAAAAGTGCTCCGAGACCCAGGTGTTTTGCACATTTTGACTTGCAAATGTGCTTCGCGCCACAAGGGCGTGCAATTTTTCATCTCTCATTTGGCCAGCTGGCTCCGCACCCGCCGCTTTAGCGAGCCTACTTTTCGACCCTCCGGAGCCCCAAATCATTGGAAAAACACAGTGTTTCGCGACTTTCCTACCTTTTCTCGCATCTGCATCTTCTTTCTTCTTACTCTTTCTCTTCTACTCTTCTTTCTTCTAATCTTTCTCTTCTCTCTGCCTCTTCCCTGCTCTGCCTCTTCCCTGCTCTGCTTTTCATCTGTCCATATTGTCGGAAGTTTGACTTCTAAACTTCCTTCGGTAATCACATATATTGGGACATGTTTTTCCATCATGTTGAGACCATTTCATTGGGATATCATTGGGATATCTGACATCACCCAGGGCGATGACACGGGATGCCCCAGACATCGACCACATCATCCCACTGACGGGGTCATATTACTTCAACAATACTCCGGGGAGTACAAGTCATTAATACACACATGTTTTAAACATCCCAAGGATAAGATCAGGGTAAATTCTAACGACCGAAGCCTGGAAAGATGGTTAGTAAGATCAGTAAGTTTTTACCTCGGTATTACGCAACCCCAAGTTTAGATCGAAGAGTAATCAAAAGATATCAAAAGTAACATAGACCCGGGCAAGCCGGCGGCGGAAGTTTCCCAAACATAAATGACCTATAGTTCAAAGACAACCTGTCCCGACCGTGTCCTTCCCTCGACACTCCACACCTCACACTGCACACTGCACTCTTCGCACTCTTCAAACTTCACACTCCACACTTCACACTCCACACTTCTCACTTCTCACTGCTTCCTTCACACTCCAAACCTCACACTTCACACTTCACACTTCACACTGCACACTTCACACTTCACAGTCCACACTTTCACACTTCACAGTCCACACTTCACACTTCACACTTCACAGTCCACACTTCTCACTTCGCACTTCACACTTCACACTTCACACTCCACATTTCACACTTCTCACTTCTCACTGCTTCCTTCACACTTCCTTCACACTCCAAACTTCACACTTCTCACTTCGCACTTCACACTCCACACTTCACAATCCACACTTCACACTTCTCACTTCTCATTGCTTCCTTCCCACTCCAAACTTCACACTCCAAATTTCACACTTCACACTTCTCACTTCGCACTTCACATTTCACACTTCACTCACACTTCACACTTCACAATCCACACTTTACACTTCTCACTGCTTCCTTCACACTCCAAACCTCACACTTCACACTTCACACTTCACGCTGCGCTCTTCGCACTCCACACTTCACAATCCACACTTCACACTTCTCACTTCACACTTCTCACTTCTCACTGCTTCCTTCACACTCCAAACTTCTCATTTCTCACTTCGCACTTCACACTCCACACTTCACAATCCATACTTCACACTTCTCACTTCTCACTGCTTCCTTCCCACTCCAAACTTCACACTCCAAACTTCACACTTCATACTTCTCACTTCGCACTTCACGCTCCACACTTCACTCACACTTCACACTTCACAGTCCACACTTCACACTTCTCACTGCTTCCTTCACACACTTCTCACTTCGCACTTCACACTCCACACTTCACTCACACTTCACACTTCACAGTCCACACTTCACACTTCTCACTGCTTCCTTCACACTCCAAACCTCACACTTCACACTTCACACTTCACACTCCTCCCTTCACAGTCCACACTTCACACTCTCATTTATCACTGCTTCCTTCCGACTCCATCCAAAAACTTCACACTCCAAACTTACACTTCTCACTTCGCACTCCACACTTCACACTCCACACTTCTCACTTCTCACTGCTTCCTTCCCACTCCAAACTTCACACTCCAAAACTCACACTTCACACTTCTCACTTCGCACTTCGCACTCCACACTCCACTCACACTTCACACTTCACAGTCCACACTTCACACTTCTCACTGCTTCCTTCACACTCCAAACCTCACACTTCACACTTCACACTTCACGCTGCGCTCTTCGCACTCCACACTTCACAGTCCACACTTCACACTTCTCACTTCACACTTCTCACTTCTCACTGCTTCCTTCACACTCCAAAATTCAAAATCCAAACTTCCACACTTCACACTCACACTTCTCACTTAGCACTTCAACTCCCCACTTCACCACACCTTCACACTTCTCCACTTCTCACTGCTTCCTTCACACTCCAAAACCTCACACTTCCACAATTCACACTTCCACACTGGCTTTCGGCCATCCAAACATGAAACTTCAACTCCCACCACTTCACACTTCACAGGTCCACCAATTCACACTTCTCACTTCTCACTGCTTCCTTCACACGCCAACCCTCACCACTACCACTTCACACTGCGCTCTTCGCACTCCAAACTGAAAACTTCACACTCCACACCTTCACCAATTCTCACTTCCCAATCTTTTCCTTCACACTTCACACTTCCCACTTCCCACTGCTTCCTTCACACACTGCTCTAAACGTACGTCCAACAAAAAAAACACGAGTGCCAAAATGGAGAAAATCTGCTAACAAACCCATTTCGCAGCCTTCATGCAGCCACTCCAAGACGATTTCCGAGATCCAGCTGCAAAAGACAATAGTATTACGAGTGCAGCCACAGCACGAAGCAACCTTGACGCAGCCATTACAATGCGATCTGCAGAGACTGAGTTGCAAAACACAATAGAACTACGCGCAACGGCGTCGGAAATTGTAGCTCCAAAACCGGATCTCGACGCCAGAGCGAAAAAAAGACGATTTTGAAGCACTTTTTAAAAGAATTTTTAGAAGGAAATTCACTAGCGCCAAAATGAAGAAAATCTGCCAACAAATCACTGTGGCAGCCTTCATGCAGCCACTCCAATAGGATTTACGATCTTCAGCTGCAAAAGACAATAGTATTACCAATGCAGCCACAGCACGAAGGAACCTTGACGCAGCCCCATTACAATGCGACTCTGAAGAGACTGAGTTGCAAAAGCACAAATAGAACTAAGAAGAAAACGGACCGGCAGGACTAAGCGGGTTTGGCTTCTCCTTCTCATCCCTGACGCCTATTTTCAGAACCTCTAATATCAAGAATTAGCGACGCTCGAGATCAAAAAAAGGGATCGCCTCGACGTCAGAGCGAAAAAAAGACGATTTTGAAGCACTTTTTAAAAGGATTTTTAGAAGGAAAATCGCTAGCGCCAAAATGGAGAAAATCTGCTAACAAATCCATGTCGCAGCCTTCATGCAGCCACTCCAATACGATTTACGAGATCCAGCTGCAAAAGACAATAGTATTGCAAATGCAGCCACATCACGAAGCAACCTTGACGCAGCCATTACAATGCGATCTGCAGAGACTGAGTTGCAAAACACAATAGAACTACGCGCAACGGCGTCGGAAATTGTAGCTTCAAAACCGGATCTCGACGCCAGAGCGAAAAAAAGAAGATTTTGAAGCACTTTTTAAAAGGATTTTTAGAAGGAAAATCACTAGCGCCAAAATGGAGAAAATCTGCTGACAAATCACTGTGGCAGCCTTCATGCAGCCACTCCAATACGATTTACGAAGATCCAGCTGCAAAAGACAATAGTATTACAATGCAGCCACAGCACGAAGCAACCTTGACGCGCCATTTACACTGCGGGAACGATCCTACAATTGCAAAGCACAATGGAATTCCATCGGCTACTCATCCACCAGCACCACTTGCAATCCCATTTACATTGCGGGAACGATCCTAGAGTTGCAAATCAGAATGGAATTCCATCGGCAACTCATCCACCAGCACCACTTGCAACCCCATTTACAATGCGGGAACGATCCTACAGTTGCAAATCACAATGGAATTCCATCTGCAACTCATCCACCAGCACCACTTGCAATCCCATTTACATTGAGGGAACGATCCTAGAGTTGCAAATCACAATGGAATTCCATCAGCAACTCATCCACCAGCACCACTTGCAACCCCATTTACAGTGCGGGAACGATCCTACAGTTGCAAATCACAATGGAATTCTGTCGACCACACATGCACGAAACACAGGTGAAACCCCATTTACAATGCGGAACCGATCCGAACATTATCCGAACATGATCCGAGCATGATCCGACCACACACGAGACCGTCTCGCACCCGTCGCACCGCAGAGGTAGATCATCGAGGTTCGGGGACGGACTTTGTATGGAAAAACATAGGCTTTCGTGCATCTGCTATCTCTCCAAAACGCATTTCGTGCGAGACTTCCTCCAAAACTCCATCGGCAACTCCTCCACCAGCACCACTTGCAATCCCATTTACAGTGAGGGAACGATCCTAGAGTTGCAAATCACAATGGAATTCCATCGGCAACTCATCCACCAGCACCACTTGCAACCCCATTTACAATGCGGGAACGATCCTACAGTTGCAAATCACAATGGAATTCTGTCGACCGCACATGCACGAAAAACAGTTGAAACCCCATTTACAATGCGGAACCGATCCGACATGATCCGAGAGAATGATCCGACCACACACGAGACCGTCTCGCACCCGTCGCACCGCAGAGGTAGATCATCGAGGTTCGGGGACGGACTTTGTATGGAAAAACATAGGGTTTCGTGCATCTGCTATCTCTCACAAAACGCATTTCGTGCGAGACTTCCTCCAAAACTCCATCGGCAACTCCTCCACCAGCACCACTTGCAATCCCATTTACAGTGAGGGAACAGTTTCTTTGCTAACTCTTTCTGTGACTAACTCTTTCCCTCACTAACTCTTTTTTTGACTAACTTGTTTCTTTGCAAACTCTTTCTTTGACTACCTGATATATCCTGACTAACTCTTTCTTTGACTGACTCTTTCCCTCACTAACTCTTTGACTAATCCTGACTAACTCTTTCTTTGACTAACTCTTTCCCTGACTAACTGCTAACTCTTTCTTTGCTTACTCTTTCTTTGACTAACTCTTTCCCTCACTAACTCTTTCTTTGACTAACTCTTTCCCTCACTAACTCTTTCTTTGACTAACTCTTTCCCTGACTAACTGTTTCTTTGCTAACTCTTTCTTTGACTAACTCTTTCCCTGACTAACTGTTTCTTTGCTAACTCTTTCTTTGACTAACTCTTTCCCTCACTAACTCTTTCTTTGACTAACTCTTTCCCTGACTAACTGTTTCTTTGACTAACTCTTTCTTTGACTAACTCTTTCCCTCACTAACTCTTTCTTTGACTAACTCTTTCCCTGACTAACTCTTTCTTTGACTAACTCTTTCCCTGACTAACTGTTTCTTTGCTAACTCTTTCTTTGACTAACTCTTTCCCTAACTCTTTCTTTGACTAACTCTTTCCCTGACACTAACTCTTTCTTTGACTAACTCTTTCCCTCACTAACTCTTTCTTTGACTAACTCTTTCCCTGACGAACTCTTTCTTTGCTAACTCTTTCTTTGACTAACTCTTTCCCTCACGAACTCTTTCTTTGACTAACTCTTTCCCTGACATTCTAAAAGTCCGTAACACGGAAGTTTCTCCCCCTATACTTCCTTTGATAAAGTGCCACGATCTTGAAGTCGGAATGTGCTTCTCTAAACATGTGGTTTTTCACGAATGACAGCCCTCGGACGACAGTGGAAGCAGCTGCTGCCAGGACAGGCGCCAGACTTCTCCAAGACAAGGCTTTGTGCGGACTTCATCGAGCACGGCAACTGCCACTTTGGCCGCAAATGTCACCTGGCAGCGTTGCGAAGATGGGAGATGGGTGGGATTAATGTGAAAGAATGGGGACTTCAAATCTAGATAATCCTCTCTCCCTATTTCTAAAACACCCCCCTCCCCAAATGGTAAACACGGTGATTTATTTTTATTATTCGGTGTTATTTTGTATTAGGATGCCCCTAATATTCCAATGAAAACCCTAATGATAAAGATAAAAAACTCGATTTCAAATTTGATTAAAACCCTTCTTTAAAAAAACATATTGCCAAAAAATGGATTTCGCAGTTTTCCCCTACTATTCCAATGAAAACCTTAATAATAGAAATAAACAATAAAACTCGTGAGATGGGACCCCAAAAAAAACAAACTCCAGGTGGCAATCATTGGCAATTTATTTTTATTAATAGGGGGTTGAACCCATTGTTTCACCATCCTGTTCTCCTATTGATTCCCAGTTACCACAATTAAGAATCCACTTGTGCACCAAAAACAAACGGACGTGCCACAGCAATCTTGGGGGATTTGCCACGGTCACCATCCCAGCCTTGGGGATGATGACTGTGACTCAACTTGGCTGTGCAAGTTTGAGAGATGATAACCACCAAAAAATGTTCCATGATTTTCCAACATCAGCAATAATATGATTACTGGTTGGTGGTTTCAAACATGACTTTTATGTTCCATTTCATATATGGGATGTCATCCTTCCCATTGACGTTCATATTTTTCAACATGGTTAAGTCACCACCAACCAGATGTAATCTAGCCACTATATTCCACTAGCGCTGCCACAAAAAATCCCCATCTGGAGTTCACCAGCGGTCCAGCATGGTCCAGCGGTCGATTCCGCTCGATTCCGGATGCCCAGCATCTACGAAGTTTATGAAGTAAGCCCTACCCTTTGGTAAACGTTTACATAGCTATGGAAAATCAGTTTGTTTTTGTTTGGGTAAATCAGCTATTTCGAAATGTGCCATTTTCAATAGCAAACTGTTAGTCATTACCAGAGGGTACACCATCACCAACATCCTGGTAGAACTCTTCTATCTCATTGGAGCTTCAATTGTTGCGGATCATCGACTCAAAAAAAGGGGAAAACTGAAGGAACTCCCCATCTTTGGGATTTTGGATGCTAGTTACAGTAGTTTCCTGAAGTCTTTTTTCCTTATAGCAGAATAGAACGAGAGATTCTCATCTCTGCCACGTGGAAGGTGGGTCCCTCTAGTTTTAAGTTGCGCTATAACCTCCATTAACTATAGATATGACTTGACATGATAGAACTTTGAGATAACTATTAGCAACTAGTCGAGAACGACTGGATAACTATATTAGATAGCTGTTAGATAACTATAGTTATATCATGTTATGGCATCTTATATCTGCCATTTACCTGCCATAAACATAAACCATAGCTATCCTTTGGCGTTCCTTTTGGATTCCTTTGGCTGGTTGACCGGGTGACCCTACCAATGACGAGGTAGCTTTGCCCATGGGAAGCGAGAGCTTCGCCCCGGATCGGCTGAAACTCGACCTTTAGATGACGGATCTGATCGGGTTTTAAAAAAAGGGCTTATAAGGCTTATATATGGTGGATATTCCCCAAGAATGGTTGATTTATAGGGGTTAGGCTTTGGGGGATGTGAAAATCATTTACTGAGATACTTCAGCTTGATTTAATTTCTATCACCAACAAGTTGCCAGATGCATGGTTTTCGCAAAACGACTTTTCGATCTTTTCGGGGGTTGCTATAGTTTAGTACTTCCAGAGCAACCCCAAACAGAAAATGGTAAGTTTACCATTTGTGAAATTAATTTTACTTTTTTGCATCTTTGAGTAAGGTCTCTTGTCAGGATGTGTTCAACCATGAATGTGGATTTTTCATGGAGACACCCGCCACCAGAGCCAATCTTCAGATGATCATCCCGGTTTTGAGCTCAGATTTGTCAGGTTGAAACTGGCGTAGTCCACTGGGCCATAATTGGATGGAATTTCTATAGCCAGCTAAAACAGATATGACAGGGTATCCAAGAGTGGCCCTGGATATTGACCGGAATATTGCTATGTGAAACCAACATGAAACATATGATGTTTTAAAATATCTTCTGAGTTTATCAACTCATGTATCTAAATCCGATGATGCATCAAATTGCGTCATTAGGCATTACTATGATACCCGCTGGTAATTGAACATGGCTGTGGACAATCACCATCTTTAGGTAGATAAATCATGATAAATCCTCTACAAATGGCCTAGCTATGTAAGAAATTACCTGAGCATCCTGTGCCTCGTGGCCTCGTGGCCTCGTACTCGGCATGGAAGCCATGACCCATTTGGATCCCTTGGGTTGGATGATTTATGTAGCCATGTTCCATAGCTATGTTAGATTTCCTAAGGGTCATGAAGCAATATAAAGAGAGAGAGAGAGATACATATATATATATAAATATAAAGTAATATTCCATTAATATCGTAGTATATCGTAGTCATGTCCGATTCATATTCCATCATATCCCAATTATATCCCAATTATATCCCCATTATATAACCATTTGTGTTGGCTACATGCGATAAAATCCCACATATTGTATATTGAAGGCAGATTGGACTATCAAAGATGGCGGGCAATTTTAAACGGGACATGCCTCACTATTTCCATGGGCATTTAAATGGGAACATCATCGTTTAATGGGAACAATGTTGCATCAAACATTTAAACGGCATACTCTGGAAATTGTGGATTCTCCATTTTGCACATTTCCATGTTTGCTTACCAGAGGGTACAGTAAGCATCATGAACTGTGTTTTTTTAGCCGATGCAATGAAGAATTCTGCTCAATAAGAAGAGTCTGCACCTAATGTTCAAGTTTTGGATCAGTTTGAGTGTATAGAAACGGTGTACCCTCTGGTAATTTAACATAGCTATTGAACATGACCATTTATACTGGATTTTCTTATTGAAAACGGTGATTTTCCATAGTTATGTTAGTTTACCAGAGGGTACTCTATGTTTCTGAATTGCTACGGGTGCCCCATGGTGCCCCAATGGTGGTGAATTACCCGGAAGTTTGTTTCATAGAGATCCTCTCAACAGTCGAATTCTATTGTGCAAACTCATCTTCCAACCCCTGGAGACGTGTGTGTTAATCCGGGGGTTGGAACTTATTCTATCCATTCACTGAAGCTGGAGGACCACAGCGCCAGGTCATGATTCATGGGGATATTGTAGAGATATGATCGGATCCCATACATGTGTGTTCTGGCAGCATGTTTGGGATCTGTACTTGGGCAACAGGTTCTTGACCCATAGCGTTCCATGCATTACACTGAAATCAACCTGGAAGAAACAAATGCACTATTGAGGTCCTGAAAAATGGTTGATTCTGGTTGAGGGGGTTCAATTATGTGTTTGTTTTCAACCATATACTTGGGATGGTTCAGATGATGGGCCTCCAGGCCAAACTCGGACGCCCGGGGCAGCTTTTGGGCAGTGGCTGTATGGGGCGTGGTGGCCGGGGCATGGTGTCGCCGGGCCCCGTGTCGGCGGTCTACATGAACAGCTTGCACGAATCTGCTGCCATGAAGTTGCTTGGAACATGGATTTTACCCTCTGGATCCCTCTGGTAATTTAACAATTTGCTTTTGAAAATTGCCATTTATAGTTGAATTACCCATTAAAGATTGTGTTTTTCCATAGTTATGTTAGTTTACCAGAGGGTATATGTTTTTTTTGGGGGGGGGACTTGAAGATGTTGAAATGATGAATGGGATCGGCTTTGAGCAACCCAATCACTCAACTTCATTCGGCATCGGTGCTTCAGGTCCGGGCACCACTCATTCTACTAGAGAGAGAGGGAACATGTGATTTACCCTCCGGTAATCAAACGTGGCAATTGGAAATCCACTAGCCATGGGGTTTTAATAGGAAAATCACATAAATAGTGTACTTTCCATTGCCATTTTGACTACCGGAGGGTACCAGATTTATGGTTTCATTCGCTGTTTTTGGTTGTCTTCCATCATCTGGGCTTGTGAACAGATGTTGCTGGCGAACTCCGAATATCGGAAGATATCCACTGGCTTACAATGGTGCTAAGCTACGCCAAAAGGATGCCACAAAACACCAAGGGTGTACCCAAAAAACCTGTTTAGTGGCTTCAATTATTTGTCCATTCAAAAATTGGAAGAAAAAAATCCTAAAGTCAGAACTCACGGTTTGTAATCCTTCACTTTTTGAAAAAAAATAACCCTCTGGAGACAAAAAAAGACCGAGAAAAAAACGGTTCTGGGCGGCGATGCCGACCGGTTACGCCGACCGGTGGGCCATGGTGGACCTCAAACATTTGATGGTCACGCACCAAGTACCCTCTGGTAATTTAACATAGCTATTGAAAATGACCATTTATAGTGGATTTTCCCATGAACAATTGTGATTTTCCATAGCTATGTTAGTTTACCAGGGGGTAAATGGAGTTTAATATGGTTAGTTCATGTTAGTTCTCTGGGAACATATTCTATACATTTTATATCATTTTATCAGGGTCTTCCAGGAAGCCATATGTTTGATGATACTGGGGGCTATCCGATTGTTTTTTTGATATACATCTCACTGGCCGACCCGGGTTGGTCCGAAATACCCTCTGGTAAACTAACAGTTTGCTATTGAAAATTGCCATGTATAGTTGATTTTCCCATTCAAAATGGTCATTTCTCAAGGCTTTGACATGGATATGGCTTTCTAAAGTAAATGGACCAGTTTTACCCAAAGAAAGGTGTATAAAGGAGGATAAAGCATGATAAAGCATGATAAAGCATGATAAAGCTCCTCCTGAAAGAAATTGGATCTGAGGAAAAACTTCTCACAATTGAGTTTTTGTTCCTCAAAATGCCAGAAGATACTCAATAAGTTTGGGAAATTGTCTCACATTTTTGAGTCCCACGACGCTATGTTGGGATCCAACATTATACCATCTGGTTATTTAACATAGCCATGGAAAATCCCTTATAAATGGAGGGTTTAATGGGAAAATCATCTATAAATGGGCCATTTTCCATGGCTATGTGAAATAACCAGAGGATACATTTTATAAGGGTCTTCCACAAAAAAAACAATATGTTTGATGATCCTGGAGGCTATCCGACATATTTGCTCAACATGTTTCTGAGGGTCACTGGTTCCGGGGAATCTTCGGGCCAAATGGGTGGGTCTGAAATGGATTGAAATATGGTAGCCTCTGGTAAACTAACAGTTTGCTATTGAAAATGGCCATTTATAGTAGATTTCCCCATTCAAAATGTTGATTTTCCATAGTTATGTTAGTTTACCAGAGGGTATCTCAAAGTTGACTCGTTAAGCACCACTCTTTTGCTCACTCTTTTGCGACTGTTCAGCGTCTCGGCAAAGCAGATGACTGATGAAGTCGATGATCACCACATCACTGGATCGAAGGAAATGCACCAACTGATCTGAAAGTAGGCTGTTGTGCAGCCAGTTGATCAGTTGCAAGTGGATCAAGTGGATCAAGTGGACTGGTGGCAAAACAAACATTGGCACCAAAAGGTAGCAGGATTCGCAGGCTACCACGCTTGTTCGCCGTTCGCATGCTCCAGAGTTGATCTAATGCAACCTTGCAGGCTCCTCGTGAAAGGTGGTTGGTCCTCACGAAATTCTTAAGTCTTTCGCAGGCATTGATCCACTGCTTACTGCTCTTCACAAAGTAAACTCCTTTTTGCGAAGTTTGATGTTCACTCGTTAACCATCAGTTGAAATAGCAATGTTGCTGGTATCTCGGGGTATACCCGATTTCAGATGATTTCAGGCACCCACACATCATGATATCCCCTTAAGATATCTTCATTATACATATTATACTCTTCATAGCAAACCATTTAATATTACCCCGTAGTACTTTCCATTAAAGTCCCAGTAAATTGTCCCATGAAAATCCCGTTTATTCATGTTGATTCCGCATCAACAAAACCGTTACATCACATTTCCCATGAAGGTGAGGCCCCTTGTAACCCCCCCGATCGTCAAGCATGGCAATCGAAAGTACCCCCACTAGTGGTATGGTTGAATATCTCTATTCATTTGGAACGGTCTATGATGATAAAATTCAGTGATTGGTGGCTGGATGTGTAAAGAACCAGTGGTAGACATGAATAGGCAGTGCTAGAGAAAGTGGGCTTCTACCAAGTCGATTGGGTCTACTTTGATTTCATTGGACTTTTTTTTGTGCTTTGTGGCTGTGATGAAAGTGTGCAGGGTCTAAAATGGGTGCAGGATAATGTGACTCTCGAAGGTCTGACATGTTTTCTGACGGTGGGGACCAGAAAACATTCCAGACCTTTCATCTCAGACCACGTTGGAGGTCCCAGGGTCTACTCTACTCCCCCTTCAAATCCCATGGGCCTGGGAAACTTCATTTAAGACCTCATTTTTAGGGTCTACAATGAAAGTGCCAGGGTCGCCTTTTAGCTGACTGATGCTGACTGGATACTAAATCGGGGCTTCCCCCGGACTTTTTCCAAGGCGTTCCCAGCCGCAGGTTGCTGTTTGACGCCACGGCACGCAGTTCCTTCAGCACGGGGGCCGAGTCGCTCAAATCGGCCGAGGCCGACGACAGCTTTGGGTGCCACGGCGATTTGTCGCCGTTACGGCGGCGGAGGTTTCGGGGGACCAATGGAATGGGGAGATCACGGGAAGATCACGGGAATCATAGAGTTATCATATGGTAATCATTATATATGGTTATAGATGTTATAGTTATAATATGTTATAATATGGGAATAGTTTTTTCTTTATAAACCATCCATGCATATGGACAGTTTATGACATTGCTTTACTATGCTTTATTGACATTGATGGGTTTAGTCGCAATATATACGGTAACGACATTTAAATATGTGGAGGGCGGGCCAGACCGCAAGGCCCCGGAGGTAGTATGAAATACCAGTTCGTATATTTAAATGTAGTTGCAGTATCTTTAAATGAATTGGATTCCGTATCCCGGAGGTAGTCTAAAATACCTGTTCGTATATTTAAAAATCCGTATATTTAAATGTAGTTACCGTATATATATATATTTACAGTATATACAGTATAAACAGTATATACAGTACACACACACATATATATATATATTTATGCAAGATGCCCCCCAGCTATAATTTGGTTTATAAGCCCCATGAAATATAGTTGGAGCACGGCCTTTATCTGGCCGTGCGTTTTCGTGCACATTGGGGGTGGGGTGGGGTGGGGTGGGGCATGTGTTAACGTTCATGTGAACTTGCTAGGTAAGTGGACTCGTCTCTGTGTGTGCCGTTATGTGCGTGTAGACATGGGTGGGGTGGGGTGGGGTGGGGCATGTGTTAACGTTCATGTGAACTTGCTAGGTAAGTGGACTCGTCTCTGTGTGTGCCGTTATGTGCGTGTAGACATGGGTGGGGTGGGGTGGGGTGGGGCATGTGTTAACGTTCATGTGAACTTGCTAGGTAAGTGGACTCGTCTCTGTGTGTGCCGTTATGTGCGTGTAGACATGGGTGGGGTGGGGTGGGGCATGTGTTAACGTTCATGTGAACTTGCTAGGTAAGTGGACGCAAGTGAAGGTCCGTTGCAAGGTCGTCTGGCAGGTTGTGCCAAATTCATCAATACATAACATGTTGAAATCCAGGTCGGTTGCAAGGTCGTCTGGCAGGCTGTGCCAACTTCATCAATACATAACATGTGGAATTACAAAAAAATGCGTTTTCGCCTAGGCGAAATACTTGTTTTTCATTTCATGCACCAGAATAAGGGGTTTCTTGTCTTTGAACTCACATCAAAACAATACAGGTCGAATTAGTTGGGGAGTTCTGAGAAACATCAAAAATGATAGTTTCGCCTAGGCGAAACGCTAGATTTTGATTTTATGCACCAGAATCAGGGTTTTTTCGCCTTTGAAATCACATCAACCAAAATCCTATTGGCACGACCACATCAAACATCATCCATGACACCCCGTTGATCACAAAAACACCACGGCCAGATAAAGGCCGTGTTCCTAGTTATACCCCCCAAAGTATCCCAAAGTTATACGTCAACTTGGCTAAATTCCAATACGGCATACGGTGTAAGATGGTAAAAAAATGGCAGTACAGCAATAGGATCCACCATCCTCCATATTTTACATCATTTTACTGAAGGGTGGCATAAACCATCAATCCAAACCATCAATCCATATGGGTGGTTTATGACACTAATTTACTAACATTAACAGGGGAGCATGATACGGTATGATATTCCAATATAATAAGTTTTGTGATGGTGTAAATTGGAACCAATGTTAATAAAGCAATAGGATCCACCCGTTTTACCATAAAATGATCAGTATATGCTGGTATAAACATGAAAACATGGGTGGTCTCTGACATTGCTTTACTAACATGAATTTTGCGTGGTCATATGTTTTAATATTCCAATAAAGGGAGTATTATTTGTGGCATATCATGGGCTATGATCATGTGCTATCCAGTGCTATCCGGAGGCAGCTACGGAGCTTTTTTGGGATGCTATACATACTATGGTGCCCCAGTTCGTTAGCTAAGTTGGTGAACATATAACTCCAATTTCACTATGGTTTATGGTAGACATATCGTGATATATCTATACTATCCCTATGGTTTATAAGCCAACGTTCATATCACTGGGGGGCACCACCTTGTAGGGGCAACATCTTCCCTAGTAGATGAGCCACTTGGAAGTTCCTCACATGTGGTGATGGGGTTACCCTCTGGTAAACATGGCCGTGAAAAATCACCATTTTATTGGCAAAATCAACTATTCTGCCATGTTCAATTGCTATGTTAGGTTACTGGATGGTATAGTTATAATTCAATCATGCAGGTGTATCTAACGAATGTCTATTTTGAGGACCTGGAGGATAACATAGACCCGGGCAAGCCGGCGGCGGAAGTTTCCCAAACATAAACGACCTATAGTTCGAAGACAACCTGTCCCGACCGTGTCCTTCCCTCGACACTCCACACCTCACACTGCACACTGCACACTGCACTCTTCGCACTCCAAACTTCAAACTTCACACTCCACAATTCACACTTCACACTCCACACTTCACACTTCTCACTGCTTCCTTCACACTCCAAACCTCACACTTCACACTTCACACTTCACACTTCACACTGCGCTCTTCGCACTCCAAACTGAAACTTCACACTCCACACTTCACACTTCACACTTCACAGTCCACACTTCACACTTCTCACTGCTTCCTTCACACTCCAAACCTCACACTTCACACTTCACACTTCACACTGCGCTCTTCGCACTCCAAACTAAAACTTCACACTCCACACTTCACACTTCACACTTCACAGTCCACACTTCACACTTCTCACTTCTCACTGCTTCCTTCACACTCCAAATCTCACACTTCACACTTCACACTTCACACTGCGCGCTTCGCACTCCAAACTTAAACTTCACACTCCACACTTCACACTTCACACTCCACACTTCACACTTCTCACTTCCCACTGCTTCCTTCACACTTCACACTTCACACTGCACTCTTTACGCCCCACACTTCCCACTGCTCTAAACCTACGTGCAACAAAAAACACTAGTGCCAAAATGGAGAAAATCTGCTAACAAATCCATTTCGCAGCCTTCATGCAGCCACTCCAAGACGATTTCCGAGATCCAGCTGCAAAAGACAATAGTATTACGAATGCAGCCACAGCACGAAGCAACCTTGACGCAGCCATTACAATGCGATCTGCAGAGACTGAGTTGCAAAACACAATAGAACTACGCGCAACGGCGTCAGAAATTGTAGCTCCAAAACCGGATCTCGACGCCAGAGCTAAAAAAAGACGATTTTGAAGCACTTTTTAAAAGGATTTTTAGAAGGAAAATCATTAGCGCCAAAATGGAGAAAATCTGCTGACAAATCACTGTCGCAGCCTTCATGCAGCCACTCCAATACGATTTACGAAGTCCAGCTGCAAAAGACAATAGTATTACCAATGCAGCCACAGCACGAAGCAACCTTGACACAGCCATTTACACTGCGGGAACGATCATACAGTTGCAAAGCGCAATGGAATTCCATCGGCAACTCATCCACCAGCAACACTTGCAATCCCATTTACATGGCGGGAACGATCCTAGAGTTGCAAATCACAATGGAATTCCATCGGCAACTCATCCACCAGCACCACTTGCAATCCCATTTACAATGCGGGAACGATCCTACAGTTGCAAATCACAATGGAATTCTGTCGACCGCACATGCACGAAAAACAGGTGAAACCCCATTTACAATGCGGAACCGATCCGAGCATGATCCGCCCATGATCCGAGCATGCTCCGCCCATGATCCGACCACACACGAGACCGTCTCGCAACCGTCGCACCGCAGAGGTAGATCATCGAGGTTCGGGGACGGACTTTGTATGGAAAAACATAGGGTTTCGTGCATCTGCTCAAAAACGCATTTCGTGCGAGACTTCCTTCAAAACTCCATCGGCAACTCCTCCACCAGCACCACTTGCAATCCCATTTACAGTGAGGGCACGATCCTTGAGTTGCAAATCACAATGGAATTCCATCGGCAACTCATCCACCAGCACCACTTGCAATCCCATTTACAATGCGGGAACGATCCTACAGTTGCAAATCACAATGGAATTCTGTCGACCGCACATGCACGAAAAACACTTGAAACCCCATTTACAATGCGGAACCGATCCGAGCATGATCCGACCATGATCCGAGCATGATCCGACCACACACGAGACCGTCTCGCAACCGTCGCACCGCAGAGGTAGATCATCGAGGTTCGGGGACGGACTTTGTATGGAAAAAACATAGGGTTTCGTGCATCTGCTATCTCTCAAAAACGCATTTCGTGCGAGACTTCCTTCAAAACTCCATCGGCAACTCCTCCACCAGCACCACTTGCAATGCCATTCTAACCCTTTCTTTGACTAACTCTTTCCCTGACATTCTAAAAGTTACAATTAACTCTAACTCTTTCCCTGACACTCTCTAAAAGTTACAATTAACTCTGTCCCTAACCAACTCTTTCCCTCACTAACTCTTCCTTTGACTAACTCTTTCCTGACAGTCTAACTCTTTCTTTGACTAAATCTTTCCCTGATGAGCTCTGTCCCTAACTAACTCTTTCCCTCACTAACTCTTTCTTTGACTAACTCTTTCCTGACAGTCTAACTCTATCTTTGACTAAATCTTTCCCTGATGAACTCTGTCCCTAACTAACTCTTTCCCTCACTAACTCTTTCTTTGACTAACTCTTTCCCTGATGAACTCTTTCCCTAACTAACTTTTTCCCTCACTAACTCTTTCTTTGACTATCTCTTTCCCTGATGAACTCTTTCCCTAACTAACCTTTCCCTGACTAACTCTTTCTTTGACTAACTCTTTCCCTGACATTCTCTAAAAGTTACAATTAACTCTGACCCTAACCAACTCTTTCCCTCACTAATTCTTCCTTTGACTAACTCTTTCCTGACAGTCTAACTCTTTCTTTGACTAAATCTTTCCCTGATGAACTCTGTCCCTAACTAACTCTTTTCCTCACTAACTCTTTCTTTGACTAACTCTTTCCTGACAGTCTAACTCTTTCTTTGACTAAATCTTTCCCTGATGAACTCTGTCCCTAACTAACTCTTTCCCTCACTAACTCTTTCTTTCACTAACTCTTTCCCTGATGAAC